CAACGGCTTTTGCCATTGGAAGAAAAGTTATGTCTGCAATGCCTGACATTTCTAGCTACAATCTATTTTATTATTTTAGTATTTTTGAAAGGTTAAAAAATTTAAAAGAAGAAAACAAATTTTCTTTGAGAACGCATCTCTAATGAGGAAGAGTTTTCTTTTTATTTTTTTTTTTAAGAAAAGAACAAGAGAAAAGAACACCATTGTTCATGCTTTTAATTTGGTGAATATACCAAGAAAAAGGGGGGCTGGAAATTCCAGATTTAAAGAGAAGAATTTGGCTCTACTAGGGAAGTGGTGGGCTAGATTTGAAGATAGCGATGTGGGGCTGTGGAAGAAAAGTTTAGTAGCAAAGTATTATGGGTATGAAACGGTGTATATATGGGGTGGGTAATATTAGAAGGAGAAGGACATCTAAATTATGGGCAGACATAGTATCATGGGCAAAAATCAATATTTAGCCCCTCATCTTACAAAATTGATAGGTTTTAGCTCCTCACCGTATAACATGACAGTTTTAATCATTTATCTTACAAAGATTGTGAGTTTTAACCCCTCACTTTACAAAATTGGTAGGTTTTAACCCCTTACCTTATATTATGATATTTTTAGCCCATCACCGATACAAATTAAAGAAAATAGGCCTCACCTAATATCAAGTTATAACGTTCTGTTAGTTGACTATTAACATTCATTAACAATTCATTATAAAAAAATATGAAATTTAAATTCAATTTTATTTGTTAGTTCTATTAACAGAATGCTAACAAATGTTAACAGTCGACTAACAGAACTAACAGTCAGCAACAGAACTAACAGTCAGCAACAAAACTAACAGTTAGCTAACAAAATTGATAATCAACTAACAGAACTGACAGTCAGCTAACAGAACTAATAGAACATTATAACCTGATATTAAATAAGGGTTATTTTTTTTCAATTCGTACATATAAGGGGCTAAAAGTGTCATAATATAAGGTGAGGGATTAAAACCTATTAATTTTGTAAGGTAATGAGTTAAAACCTACCAATTTTACAAGGTAAATGGCTAAAAACGTCATATTATAAGGTTAGGAGTTAAAACCTATCAATTTTTGTAAGGTGAGGAGCTAAAGTTGGTTTTAGCCTTGTATTCATGAGGCTATCTAGACAGGGGCAAAGCTATATATAGACTAGGGGGCGGTGGCCCCCCCTAGGATTTGAAAAAAATATATATAATTAATTATTATTATTATTAAATTTTTTAATATTGTATTTTTAATTGTCAAAAT